TCCCTATCCCTGTCCCCATCACTGTCCCCATCCCTGACCCATCCCTGACCCTGTCCCTGTATCTGTCCCTGTCCCCATCCCTGTCCCCATCCCCATCCCTGTCCCCATCACTGTCCCCATCCCTGACCCATCCCTGACCCTCTCCCTGACCCTCTCCCTTTCACTGTCCCCATCCCTGTCCCCATCCCTGACCCATCCCTGACCCTGTCCCTGTCCCTGTGGTTCAGGTGAGGACATCTCACCCCGGGTTTCCCCGGCTGCACTGGGCACGGCCTCAGCCCCAGTGACACTGAGCACAGCTGGTGACACTGTCACACCTACAGTGACACTGAGCACAGCTGGTGACACTGAGCACACCTGGTGACACTGTCACACCTGGTGACACTGAGCACACCTGGTGACACTGAGCGCACCTGGTGACACTGTCACACCTACAGTGACACTGAGCACAGCTGGTGACACTGTCACACCTGGTGACACTGAACACACCTACAGTGACACTGTCACACCTACAGTGACACTGAGCACACCTGGTGACACTGTCACACCTGGTGACACTGTCCCACCTACAGTGACGCTGTCACACCTACAAGTGACACTGAGCACAGCTGGTGATACTGTTATTAATAATAACAGTAGTATGGCAGTAAATTATTATTATTATTATTATTATTATTATTATTATTATTATTATTATTATAATCATAATCATAATCATAATCATAATCATAATCATAATCATAATCATCATTATTTAATAGTAGTAGTAGTATGGCAACAATATAGTATTATTAATAATAACAACAACATTAATAACATTAATATTGTTATAAGTGCATATTACAATACTGGCTTTTCACAAATATTAAAGTGAATGTTACATGTATAGGGTTAGAAAACTTTGTTGTGTTAATACAGTTCCTTCTATTTCTGGTATTGATGAAACTTAGAAATAGTGGTATAATACATATATATGTTAGGCTATAACATGATGTTAAAGCACAAACTACTTTTTGTTTATATAACCCAGAGACTGAAAAGATGGTCAGAGACCCCCCCCGAATTCTTAAGATTATCTTGTCCTCCAAGACCTCCAAGAGAAGGATTTATTGCACCCTTATCAGAGGATATAAAACCCAGTGGTGCCAAGAAAACTGATTTATTGGGAAGGGGGCAAGGTGAAAACTGAACAAAGAAACATCTAAAACTTAAGAAGAATGTTTGAATATGTATAAGAATTTATGGATCTGTAGTAGGGCTCTGTTTTTAAGGGACAATCCTTTGTTAGTAAGGTGAATGCAGAGACACCCAGCCATATCTGTATATTTTACTTTATTTTTACCTCCTAATTGTCTCTCTATTAAACTTTTAAATTCTATATAAAAATGTAAACCTCATTTTGAAGAGAAACATCTCCATGAAACAGCAAAACAGCACTCAGAGCGCTCTGAGACTGGAGGGGCACCTTAATTAGTGAGATTTGATTGATGAAGGAACTAAAAATGAAAGATTTTTGTGCCTTTGGCAGAGGAGTTTCCTCCTCCCCTCTGCTTTGGTACAGAAATCCCAGAACGGGTCGTGTTCGTTTGCCCTTTGCCAAAACCCAGGCAGGGTTTTGGTTTCAGGGGAAACTCGGGCAGGGTTTTGGTTTCTGATTTATCTGGAGATTCCTGGTGAGCCAAAGCCTGAGAAATCCCTGTCCTGGAGTCCTCCCTGCCAGGAGAGAGGTGAGAGTGGGAAAAGGGGAA